CGTCTCTCTCCTCCCGTCCCAGGGTTTCTATTCTTGTTCATGGATCCTTCTCTTTGGCTTCATCTTCCCTCTTCATCATTATTATCTCGTCTATTTTCTCTCACATTCAATCCTGCTGCATCTACATCCATGCACCTGTTTCTTCTAGTATTTTCCTCCCCTCTGTCCTTGTGTGTTTCTTTCTTCTATTTTTTTGTCTTTGCTAGGGGATGGCTAGGAGGAATCTGAGAGCAGCAGGGGAGTTCTGTAGTTACCCATCAGCTTTGAAACCCTCAGCGTGTCTAGAAGGCAAAGAGAGAGGGAGAGACAGAAAGCAACAAAGGGGAAGAGAATGAGAGGAGGAGAACAAACAAAAAAAAACCTGTGACAGAAAGAAGATATATAATGTTCTTCAGGAAGACAAGAAAGAGAGGAAAGGAGAGAGCGATCTGATGCATTCTGATTAGAACAGGCAGCCGCTGCAGCATGCATCCTTTCACGAGGTCTTATATCCATCTAGCCTGCATGTTAGCAGACGTGTGACTTACAGGCTACCCGTAAATTCATCAAGCTCCCAAGAACCCACCTGGGTGCAGGCGTCGCACAAAAAGCCGACTAACTACAGCGAGTGAGTTCACGGCAAAGGGAAGGACAAATCGGTGGGGACAAAGAGAGTACAAAACAATAAGGCTACAATGTCCGCAGGCTTGAGTGTGAGGATAAGAAGTCCACCATGAAAACAGCAGCAGGCGTCTTTCAAGGTGGTAATTTCTAGCATCATACACAGCAGGATAGTAATGACGTGTACAGCACACACTCTCAGGCTTAGGAGGATCAGTGAGAGGCCGTTAGGCTGCATCAAGTCTTGTACTTTAATTGCAGTATCTAATGCAGTCCCTCTCACACACACTCTCACTCACACACACACACACACACGAGCTACACGTATACAACTGAAATCGATTTAAATGTAATACGAATATAAAATATGAATGTGGGAATATATGTAATGCACACATGGCTCGTCAACAAATGCTGTGCATATGGAGGAAACGTGTGAGGATGTTCTATGTGCTGTGGATTAACAGCAAATCTGGATTTATCCCGTCACAGTATCAGACTTCTGACATTAAAAGGAACACTAAGTTCATGTACATATTCATCACTATGATGCCATATTAAACCACAAATGGAACAGCAAAGCTTAACAACTATTGTGCGTTAGTTCTGTAACACGAATAATTTGGCTTCATCATCCGTGAGGTTTTGTCGCACAGTTTAGGACCATCTGGTTTCATTCAAAGCCAGGTTGCCATTGCTGCATCTATATTTGATTGGATATGTATCACAGAAGTATGCCGACACTTCACAATGGTATTAAAAATGTCAGTTATCCTGGATCTACACGTGAGCTTAACTTAAACATGTTGCCTTCCCCTCGGTTTATAATTAGTAACTTTCATACCGCGCTCTCGACTAAAAGCAGCAAAGCTACATAATTATTCAGAGTGAAATCTTGAAAATGGTGCTTGGCAACTGCACAGTGGTCCATGATGACTGAGCAACAATTACTAGGGAGACAATCCCCTTAAAATCCTGTGATTTCCAGTGCCGTTCCATCTTACGGCATTAAGCTAGCATTAACTGACAAAGGATTTGCTGCGTTTGGTATCGGCCTAATGCACTGTACTGCAGTTATCCCTCAACACTCGCCGGTACAGTCAATCACTCGGCTATATATATCCTCGCATCACACCCTGAGAGCATGGGTGCACCCGTGCTTGCTCACATGCTGCAGCACAGAGACAAGACAGAAAATTAAAAAATAAAAACACAATACACCTACACCGTCTAATGACCTTACGAACACAAGCTAAAGTAAAGGAAGAGCCTGGATGTCTTCTTACTGCATAATCAGTGTGCTCTTCAGAGACAGATCAAAGACTTCTCAAAACACTACTAAGCCCCGTGTAATTATGAACGGAAGCTGACAGAAGAGAGAAAAGAGGAAAACAAAACGCGTAGTAGATAAAGCTGGATTACAGTAGAGTTTGGAACTTCTGTGGCTGCGATGATACTAACACACTCGTTTGTTCGAGCAGCATCTGACGCCATGCTGAGCTGTAATATTGTAAAACTGCAGCAATAGGAGAGCAGGGTTTTGTATTTTTTTTTGGTGACCGTGGAGCACAAGGGCAGACTTTGAGCTCACTTTGTCAGTAATTACAAATCCTGATGCTTACTGCCACCACCAACCAGCCGTGTTGCAGTTTACATCCACGTCTGCCCAAAAAGTCATCCCTTCATTGTTTTTATCCTATTAGACATTTGTATGAAATTCTCGTAATTAACATATGAACTCTTGAGTTATGGCCATGTCTTGTGCGGTCACAGTGACTTTTGACGACCACATTCTTATCAGTTCGACATTGAATAAATCAAGGTAATGTCCATGTTGGAAAAGTTGAATGAAAAACCCAGATGAATACTTAAACAGGAAAGGCTGTTTAGGTTGCTGCCGCTAATTGACATGTATAGCCATATTTCCAGCATTTAATCAATCCCCCGGTTTTGTGATGCATACTATTGATGCATACTATATTAATGAATGTTCCTGTCCCTGGAGCAGAAGCGATACAACAAAATGAGTCAAGTTCAACCGTATGGTAAACATTCAATCCCCAGGTGGAATCAGAACACTAAGATTTCCCCCTTTTTATGAATTTCCCCCCTGCAACCAAAAGTTCAATTAGGCAACCGCCATTCACAAAACTGCCGACTCATATGCAGTTTAAAATAATGCAAGAAATGGGGAAACCATTTTAAATTCAAGGTGTGTTGCATTAGATGAGCACATGTTCCGAGCATAAAGACCATTTCCATTAAAGAATAATGAATTGCATTACTACGGCAATCTGGATTGTCCCTGCATCGCTCCAAAGCTTTAAACAATGGCTGAATTAGCAGAGAAAATCTCCCCAAGAACCAGCCATGTGAAACAGGCTCTCTAAATGGACAAAATTCACTTGTGTGCCTAGAAATAACCCAAATAATACCCGTAGCGCCAGTACGACAGCCTTGTGAGCCGTGCTGCTGAAACAAGGTCAGTTGTGAACATGTCCGATATGTTTTGCCATGCGCACATGATCCTGTGAGGTCTGTTTTCAGTCTGTCCTACTGGGTAGAAAATAGTGGGTCAGTTCACTTCACTTACTTGCCCCTTAAATTGGGGGAAAAAAAAGGATCAGGGCCACCCTAAAAAGAGGCAGTTGTCACAGCCTTGTGTGATGAGTCATGCTGTTTATGCAAGAGGCCGGGGGGGGGGGGCTGTTCTAGCCGGAGGTGTGGTACGAGCGATGCTGCAGTCCCCCGGGTCCGAACCCAATGGGTAACAAATCAGATAAGTGGAGCCGGGGACACATCATTCAGCCTGCAGTGCTGGCATGTCAAAGGGGATCCAATTTAAACGAGGATACGATACAATACCATGAAACTGCATGCGTTGTGGAGGCTGTGTGGAGGGAAGGGAGAGCGGAGAAAACATTGGCGCCGTTTGTGCTGACAAGATACATTCACGTCTCAATATCTGGTTCAGAGCAGGGTGGCATCTTGAATTGTAAACAGATATAATTTTGCACATATTGAATATAATGTTTAATTTTGGCCTATAGCTCATAACAAAGACATGTTCACTGACCTTATTTGGAGAGGGGAGGTAAGGCTACAGTTTAATCTCTTATTCAAAATGTCATCCTTGGAACAAACATGGAAAGGACAGCGACAGTGATGGACCAGGAAAGCACAGCCAAGCTGGTGAATAGATAATAATCGGGGAATAAGCGGCGCATCGTCAAACATTCAGAAGGGAGGGGGGGGGGGGTCTTACCAAACTAGAGATGTTGGTTAGACTGTTCCCACTTATAACACGGTGTGCTTTTTAAAAATGATTTGGGCATTTCTTTGTGCCTGACTGCACAGTAAGGAGAATGTGTCATATTTTGTCCATTTTTCATGTACTGTATGATGCTCGGGCTATACTTTCTGGACTGTATTGCAGAAGTGCCTGTACTCTGTCCTAATGCCGTCTGTGTTGGACGTGTAGTCATGTTCCACATGCATTTCACAGCACTGTACTCCCTGGTCATAGGGACACATTAGTAATTACCTGTCTGTTGAAAATCAAACAAACATCTGCCTGCACAGCAGAAAGCTGCCATCTCGAACCTGTCTATGTGAAATGTGCTGTGCTGTTCTCAGACAGTTTTCCCAGTGACATTACTGGGCAATGATTGGACAGCTCAGGGGAGCACAGTCAACATTGCCGGGCTCATTTGGCTTTTTCAAGGTTCAACCATGGGTTTCTTTTGACAGGACCTTTACAAATGGTGCCAATGCCCATGAGATTTTTGGCATCTGGCAAGCGAGACAGGCTACTGTGAAAGTTAGGTATGATCTACCAAGAAACGATATTCACAGCAAAAACTGTTTCGGTATCTCAATGTTGGAAATAACCAACACTGGTAGTCTGGGACTACAGATGAAAAAAAGCCTCTTGGCTAACTCTGGCGCATTTACAGAAATGTTTTATTAATGTTGCTATGTCCTTTGTTAGCAGATTGCCAGAGTAAAAATGACTGAATTCTTATGCCAACATGTAATATTGCTATATGTACAGATCATACTGCGTGGCTACAAGGCTATGAATTTCTGTAGACTGATCTGTAGAATGATGAAACTGTCCTCTTAGATCTCAGCTAGGAACTGGACGGAGACTATAATTTAAAAACACTGAGCCAGGGCGCTAAGATGACGGGGAAGACAGTGAGACAAAATGTCCATTCTATAGCTCCCAGGTGAGTAAACAGAAAGCTTTGAAGTAGGAAGTTGACAGAGAGTCACGGCAGATAAGCTGAGCATGATAATTATAAGCCTATCTGATTCAGCATCTACACGAGTGTGTGGAGAGTTTGCTTATTGTAAATTAGCAGGCAGAAGGAGAATTATATTTCTGTCAGAGCATCAAAGAGCAGAGTTGCGATACCCCCACCATGCCTGTGGTAGTGGGGAAAGATAATTCATATCTCGTCTTCACATTTATGCTCAGGATGTTGTTCCTCAGGGGATTTGTTGCACAGTTCTCTGTCAAAAGTTTGTCTGTTTGCAGGTAACATTTTTCAGCATATTCTCTTGTCTTCGTACATTTAGAAAATGGAAAATGAAAACACCCCATACTCCCATACACTAGAGGAGTGAAAATGGGCTCCCAAATAGGCCCCAAACCCTGTTTTTACTTAATAATTAAGAGGGGAAGGTCAGACAGTGAAGAATCCTGCTGAACCTAATGAGCCAAAGAGATAAACCGAGAGCAGACCTCAGGCACGGTCTACAGAGTAGTCCACAGTACACTGCCACTGTTGTAGCCTGTAGTGTATGAGAGTGTGTGAGAATGAGCGTGATTGTAAGTCCAGCGTCTGAGACACCAACACTCATCAACTTAGAGAGTGGGAGAGGAGGAACTGGTAGTCAAAAGCTGCTTTAACTGGAAATGATGAACAAATGAAAATGATGCTTAATATGGAGTTTCTGGTTTCACAGAGATGAAGATTATGAAAATCTGCTAAGATTATTTTTAGGGCTTGCTTAAATCACATCAGTAAATAAACACAGACGGATTGGCAAGCATAACAGACTTGTGCCAACTGGCAATAAAAAGGAAATGACGGTTTTCTTTCAAGGATAAATATATTGTAGATGATTAAGGAAACTTTAGTCTTGCATGACATCACCACACCTTCAGTCTTAAACGTTAATTAACCAAATATCTCTGTTATAATCAATTATCAGGGGATCTAACCTAAAATATATGACAAATCTTCTCCTTTAAAAATTATATTTGTGATGCTTTTTGACATGCATGATGACAAATGTCTAATAAAAGGCACTTTTTGATAATATTCATTAAATAACTGCACAGGTTCCTCCCTTCTCCCTCAACTTAGAGAGCGGGTGAGTTCTGTCAAGTAGGATGTAATAGTCAGGCCATTCATTACCGATGATTAACACAGCGTTTCTCTCCATGCCTCTCAGGAAACATGGTGAGCAAGGAGGGTGGCAAATGCATGCTCACCAACTCAGAGTCTGACTCGGAGGCAGCGCCCTTGCCCTCCACCTCGCTGGCACTGGAGGTGAAGTATTCCCTGGAAGCCAGTCGACAGGTGAGGAAGAGAAACAAGGCCCTGCAAGTGCGTTTCAAGGATATCTGCGAGGCACAGAACGAGCAAAGGGAGGCGGAGTTGCAGGCAGCAGGGAAAGGCGGCAAGCCGATCTCCTACAAAGTGGCGTACCGCAAGTACATGACCGTCCCTGCCCGCCGGTCCATCCCGAACGTCACCAGGAGCACAGGCGTGCAGACGTCCCCCGATCTGAAGAAACGCTATCAGACCTTTCCCTTTGAGCGCAAAAAAGGCCACACCTTTAAACACGTGGCGGCCGTGGAAACGTATAGAGGTCAGAATAACGGTTTTGTCATGGAGGTAAAGCAGTCCAAGGCTGCTGAGCAGGGTTTAGATGAGGAGGAGGAGGGAGCCTGCGGTGGGAGTGGAGTCCGGAGGACCAGGGCTCTGCTCCATACTAATGAGTGCATTGCCACAGTGGAGCAGCACACTGCACCTGATGGCCTGTGCTCTGACGCTCTGCAGCTCAGTTGCTCTGCAGACACAGACTGCCTTGCCGGCACACAGCGAGGAAGCCGAGCCGGAGCGCAGGCTGAGTACCAGCTCTGCAGTGTCCCATCCAAAGCCAGGACAGGATTACAACACAGGGAGGCCGATACAGAGCGCTCGGCAAAGAGGCAGCTGCATAATCTGGAGGAGGGCTCGTCCCGGACCCTGCCGGACAGGGCCTCCAAGGTTACGGGCCCCATCGCCTGGAACTCCCTCACGCAGGTGGAGTGCCTGGAAAGTCCGTCTGTGCGTAGCAAGCGGAAGAAAGCACTGCAGCTTAACGGGCTGCAGAGTGAGACACTACCACGTTCCAGCAGAGGCTGTACAACACAGGCACAGTGCCACACAGGACAGCTATCTGCCCGGCCTCTACGGGGCATGGATGAGCCTCTGACACCCTGTAGAGGTGGCGAGGCTCGTGGGGCAGCTCCCGACCACACACGGGAGGCCTGCAAGCAAATAGTGCCTATGAATCAGGACGGGGATGTTAAAGCACAGCTCCAGGCCATGGAAAATCTCATCAGCTCCAGCCAAGAGACCATCAAGGTGCTGCTGGGGGTCATCCAGGAACTGGAGAAGGGGGAGGCCCACAGAGAAGGGTAAGACATCTCACTTATAGCCAATACTTTACACTAAAGATGCAGACTTTTTCCTCTCCCGATACCGTTACCAATACTTCACAGCCGATACCGAGCATTAATGCTCTCTTTTTCACAATCTTAAAATCTGTACAGCTCACTGCATAGAACACATTTGAACAAGAGAGTGCTGTAGCATTAAAAACTGCCCACCATGACTAAACTGATAGCAGAAACACTTAATGTTCAAACTTTCACTAAGAAACTGTGTTAATGGCTGATACCGAATCTGCTTAATAAGGTCAGTATCAGGGCTGTCACTGATCCGGTGAATTGGATTAGCGGCCCCCTACTTTACATCGGTGTATCTATAAATACTATTCGGGGGAAAAAGGGCCTGGTGTACACAGGGCAAAGCCAAGGAAACATCAGAGACACAGAGCGCATTCATGATTCAGCATGAGCAGGAAAAGTGTCCTCTTGGTGAGTCACATCAATTCTAGATCTTAAGGACAAGATCGTACGTGTGACAGCTGTCCAGCAGAGCCGCGGCTGATGAACCCAGATAGTTGAAAAGGAGATCACAGCTGCATGTCGCGGCGATGATGTGGCATTTACCTGAATGTGCCCTGCAGTGCTATTACAGCACAGTGTCCTTGTGTGTGATGATTTCCCTCCAGATATGACGGCGCTGCAGCAGAACTTGTTCACAGACGATTCATCTCACCCAATTTGGCCCAAGCGGTTTGATGACCCGTCGTGTGAAACAGACAAGTTCTCAGTACCTTGTGAACGGAACAGATTCCGCCAGTGAAAACAAAACAATGTGTGCGAGATCAGTATTTGCATTAAAGCAGCCGGTATCACCCAGGGGCTTTCTTAAGAATAAATATGAATACTAAATATGTCTGAATATGAGAATGTAATTGTTATGATGCTGAAAAAATGTATATTCTGAGGACATCATATCATACGGTGACACTTTAAAGCACTTTTAGGAAAAGTACACAAAATACGAAACTAGAAATTTAACAATTGGCCTCATCCAGCGGCATGCCGTGTTTATCTAGTAAGTCCAAGGCCTTTGAAAAACCCATAGCCTGTGAAAAAGTAATTTACTGTCCAATGGATACCGAGTATATACAAAAGGGCTGTAGATAGCATCTAGACCGCTGAAAAAGAGGATAGTCTATCCAAAGGGATGAGGCAAACAAAATGGCCAATTTGTTGAGTGAATTGCTGGGGCTCTGCACTCAGATCCCTATCTGCTTTGACCAGCACTGTGTGGAGAGGTATGGAGTGAGAAAATCCATAAAAATGACATCATACCAACCTGGAGTCCAAAACCTGTGGGAATAACCACAGGCAAATACAAAGTGTATACAAAGTGTATAAAAGCACTTGATCGACAGTGTAGGACCCCGAATCAACAGTGTTTGAGCAAGGACAGTGTGACTTTACGCTGTCTAAAAATGGGAAATTAGTATTTTACAATCTTGCACAAGGCAGCCTTAATCTGTTCATCATCAAACTCATAAAAGTGTGTAGTGTGTGAAAAAGTAAGCGGACATGTGGTGCAGCATGGGGAGCCATCTTCTCTGTGTTGCCAAGCACATCTGGTTCATCAGATGCGTCTAAAGTGGCAGGTGGGAGGGAAGAGAAGGGGAATGAGGAGAGACTTAACTTGTAAATAAAAATTACTGACTACTGTTTAATGGTGCCATCTGGTCGCATACACAAAGAAACAATCACATTTGTATTTCCATATTTTAATTACAAAAGCTTACATTTAGTTTAAGTCAGTGAGCAGTATAAGTCTCTTGTAATCCATCTGAAACTTTTCTTCTTCCTGTACACTTCTTTTTTTCTAAATCAGCCAAGCAAAAACAATCTAATGCTGCTTTAGTCACACTACATTAGCTCCATGTTGCCCTTAACATAAATGTCACTGACACAACAAATAGGAGTGCCCCTCAGGCTATAGGTGCACCAAGCGAAATTATCAGATATATAACATGCTTATGTTGTGCGACATTCATTTTTCATGAAAGTAAATGTAACCCCCGTGCCCATTCATCACTATGCATGTGCTCATGACATGCTGACACAAATCCAATGGCTTATGTGCTGAGAGTAATAAAAAGCACAATTACCCCCGAAACTGCCGAGTCTGACTTTCAGGGTCTGCGATTGGGTGTTTCGGACTCAAATACTCAGACACATTCATAGTTGATTTCTGCCCTTACATGATTATGTGCAAAAGTTGCACCTTCTCCCCATTCGATTAAGGATCTGGATATTTTCTAACATACTCGTATTTTGTGCGGATGATTCACCTGGGATCGTTTTACTCCCATTCAAGAATTGGAAGTGGAAAGTGCAAGTCACCTACCTTTGTCAATAAAGAAAATAAACAGCGCTTACGGACCCCTGACACCCAAAATGACTTCCCCCACTTTGCAACTCAACGAGAACGGAGACAGTTGACGAGGAAAATGGGCCGAAATCAAGCATGTGAAAGAAAGTACATGAGAGTGACAAGGAAGGCCGAGGCTACGTCTCCCTTGGTTATTGTATTATTTAGAACTGTATAGATTGTATGAGCAGCTCTTACCATGCTGCTGCTGGGGGAACAAAAGGAATTTAGACTCGCCTCATGTCCCCACACACCAATGCATGCAAGCACTCGCATTTGTCCCTCAGGTACAGCCCCACCCGGGGCATACAACACTCCGTAGTACATCATTGGCTGCATCTAACCGCACAAAGCGCAGGAATAAATTTGCTGCATCATCAGCCAATGTTGGCAGGCCCGGACCCAATTAATCACACTCATGGGGACTTGTTGTTAGCTAGTTGTCTATTAACACTGTATGTGTGCATGTTGTTGTGCCTTTGGACTCCCACCCACTCACTGACCTTTGGGAGAGCTCACCGAGTAGCACAAAGGGGGGTAGGGTGGATAAATACACTGTTAATGGCACTTTTGGCTTCGCTCTCTCCAGGGAGGCTTGCCTTATTTTCTCTAATCAACTCAGTGTGAGAGAGGGGTGGGGAAGGACAAAAGATGGATTTAGTAACAGATCGAGACAGCACGACGGCGATGCAATGGAGAGAATAAGGGCGAGCTGTTCAAAGGAGGTGACCCAGGTGACCGTGTATCCCATCGGCTGCTTATTGATTGGAAGCTGCAAACTTCCCCGTGTCTTCTTCTCAGACTCTCTCCATGAGCTCATTAGGCGACGGCATTAAATAAAAGATGTTGATATCAACGCCTCTCGTATAGCTGTCAGAGCATATAGCACAGAAACGAGTAGATAAGGAGAGGACATTTATGATAGCTCTTTAATTTGTATTGGTGGGCAGTGTGACAAGAGTCATGGGGGGGGGGACTGAGAAACGTCTCTGCGACTGCAAAAATCAGAGACAAGAACGAAACGCGAATCATTAACTTCAATGAGGAGAATCCAGTGGTGCTCACAGCAATGTTCATTTAGAGAAACCCTGACTTACAACAGTGATTGTTTTAAAGGATTTGTTTGACAAATAAAAAAAATAGCTCACAATGATTCCTGCCTTGACCCAAATACAATGGAAGTAAATGGAATACCATTTGTGGTCCCTTCAGAAACATCTGCTCATTACTGTGGATAATCCAAAGACCTCACTTTGAACGAACAATGTTTCACCTTTCTGTTGTGACACTGAGGTCTGCAGATTGTCCAGAGTACCAGGAACATTGTTTCTGGAGAAACGTTGCTGGTAGTTTTTCCTTGCTGTGAGCACCTGAAAGGGAGTTTAGGGCCGTCCCCGAACAAAGAAAGTCTTAGTCCACTAGCACAGGTACAATTGTGTCCACTAATCTATCAAATGATTTAATCGTCATTGATCAATCTGTAAAGCTGATTTTCTCCACAAAGAATCACACAAAAGCACAACTTTAGGAAATGAATGACTTAGAAATAAAAAGAGATATTAAAAAACGTCTAATCAACTATAGAAATCAAGAACAAAATGACAGATTAGTCGACTAATCACCAAAGAGGCTTACATCTCTAAAACAGATAACTAAATAAAACCAAAACAAATGCTTTTTGACATACGGTGTGCTTTCCGCTGTGATGTCAGTCTTCACAGATTTTGGTAGTTACTATGTGTGACCCAAGGAAAGTGATAGATGAAGGACGACACCTGGGTAAATAACAGTTGTACTGGATCTACAAGAATGTGTTCTGTTCATGCAGCAGTGCAGATCATAACCATAAAAAACCACAGCAGACAATATCGTCCTTGTCATCGGGGAAGTGAGTCCACAGTACTTCCATTTTAATATGTCATTAATTATAAGAGGAAACTATTGCTGTCAATCAATATGCACATTTCCACACTGTAATCCAATAAGAAAACCATTGAGCCTTTGAAGCATGTAACCAAATACTTCCATTCAGAGCCGTCACCTGGTCTTTAGCTGCCCCCTGAGAAATAGGAATCTATAATGAGAACTGGCTTCATGACCATCTTTCATCCCAGAGGAAACTGATAATAGAACGATACAGGGACACACAAGATATAATATAATAGGATATTGACGGGTTTGAATGTGAATTTGGTGAATCAATATCACAATGAAATGAAGACGGGCTGGCTGTATGAAGCCAAAGGGCTGCTGTCCAAAACTGTCAAGATGTATCTTCTTTAGAGGAGCCATCTCATTTCCATTTCAGTTTTTTTTCCCATAATGAAAAATGTTCATACTGAGGATAACGGTTACTGTGCGTTTGACAACACTATAATGTACAGAATGGATTAATCAATGATGGAGTTTCTCTAGTGTGAGTAAAAAGCCGTGATATTAAGAAAAGCAGACAGAGCAGGTCATATTAGCCACCGATTCATCAGTAACAAAAAGATGCATTAGTTACATTTGTAATGTAATTGAAAGGTAATGTAATAAATGATGTCGGGCATTCACGATTGCTGCATTTTAGTTGTCATCGTCTACTCAGAAGAAGTAGTCGTCTAGCTGATTAATTCTGCTAGACAGCGTTTTTGACACGAAAACTATAACTGTTGCATATCTGCGGCAGATCTACTGCCACTGCTTTGTTAATGCACCATGCTAAAACCACAGACGAACGCTTAGTCTACTTCACAACTAGTGGGTTTGATGGTCGACTGTTCTGTGATACCCTTCTTCCCGGAACACAAGCTCTTGATCCTGTGTACTACTTTGCCTTATCTGACCTCAAATCAGTCAGCACACTGCTAATGGCCCCGACACTGTGCTCTTTCGGCCCTGGCTGCCGGACAAAGGCCACTCAGGAGGGCAGCATGGCTCCTCAAGACCCTCGTTTACTTGGGCCCTGCTAACGAGGGATGACAAACAAGATGAGAAAGGAAGGTGTGAGGGAGCAGCTTAACAAGTCCTGTAATTACTCATTCACGACTCCTATCTTCCCCGCAGACTCACCTATCGAACAGGACAGGACACGGCCAACTGCGACACATGCCGGAACAGCGCATGCATTATTTACAGGTGAGTGGCCATTTCTCTTCAAAAGACACGGTGATCCAAATGTGCCCCTGTCCTTTCTCCTTGAGGGAAAGTGAACAGGTGGGAAAGTGACAGCGGAAAGGAGGGGGAAGGGCCAGGGGATGCAAGACTAATGTGGATGCTGTTAATCTGCACATGGGGACGTGCGATATTCACACACACTCTCTCTCTCTCTCTATGCATACATCTTTGTCTGATTCCACCATTATCCCTTCACACCCCTTCAATCACTGGAGTGTAGCAGGTGTAAGGCTCGCTGGATTTAGAGACAAAAGGGCACACGGTTGAAAAGCAGAGAGGATACATGCTATAGAATAAGTGAGCATTGGGCCGCGAAATTTAAATGAATTACCATTCAAACATTATGAAATATCATCACGGTGTGCTGTTGCCAAGCAAACTAAGCCTCTGCGTACTTTCAAATGTAGTTCAATTGATTTGACAACCAGTACAGACGTGACTCCAAAGCCACTAGTCTACCGGGGTACACAGCTCTCGCTTTATGAAGGTGTGAGTGTGCGTTAGCGTGTGGAGATACTTTGCTGCTTAGGTTTCTTTGTGTGCCAATGTTTAAGGTGTACGAAATGATGCTGAGACAAGACGTCGATGTATCGATTAGTCGGCCGGCAGAAAAATTAATTGGCACCAATTTTGATCATTATTTCAGGAGCTTATTCAGAAAAGAAATGACAAAAAATGTCTGGTTCCAGCTTCTCAGCTGTGAGGATTTGCTGCAAATGTAATCCATTACTTGCATGAGACAAACCAGTAGGTACATATGTGTGTATGTGTGTCCGGCTGCTTTTCCGCTAGGTGCTCAGAAAAAGCGTGACTCTCAAAGTCAAAAGGAAAAGTTGAGGGGGAAAAAGATAAGAAAGAAAAGACATTGAAAGAGTAGGAAGGTGAGAGGCCATAAATAATGGAACGCGTTTTAGTGGACACTCCTGTTCCACCCGGTCGGCTTTCGCCTCTGAAGAGCCATTTAAATTATTTTCCATCTACTGCTCTCAATAACTGATAAGCCTCTGGCCAAACCTTAATCAGCTCCTGATGAAATGAACTAGCAGGTCACAGCTCTGTTCCCTCTGATGAGCTGAGGAAGGTGCATCCGGTCGTCAGACGGAGTGCGCTCGAAATGCAGCTGGACTCCCGCATGGCCACAGGGTGGAACACGAGAACACAGTCGCTTTTTTTGCAACAATTCAATGGCCGCGAGCTGAAGTGAAGGAAGCTGAATTATGGCACATGACGTGAAGGACACTGGAAGAGCACAACATGGCATGAGTGAATTAAGGGGTAGTGGGTTGAGCACAGGCTTAAAAGGATGGATGACACAGGACAGACTGCTGAGATGGGAGCTCGCCTGGTATTATAAATTAGTCAGCACCATGTCTAATAGTAACTCTGATTTGGCCCTGGGAGAGAGAGAGGGCCCTGCTCTCTGGTCTACCTATCCTCCATCTCCATCTCTGCCTGCCTGAGTAAAGACCAACTGTGCTCGCCCTGCTGTGCCAGCCTCTGCAGACTCTATCGAGATGTTCACTAACCATCCCTCTGAATCTGTGAGCACAAACTGCAGTGTGATAACGCGCCTAAATTCTCCCCAAAAATATATATGAGCAAACCACGGTTCTTTTTGTCAAGATAATCTTGGCAGCTCAGGGTTCCCATCACTGATGTGTTGGGAAAGGTGTTATATATCACCATGATTTGAATTCCCAATGAGGATTTAAAATATGCAAAATGCAGGCTGCAATAAACGCTATGATTAAGTCTGCCCATTTGAATGAGCCAATTATACATACAGTACGTGCCAGTGAGTGGTCCAACATATCCGTCTTATCTGGTTTGTTTCTTACCTGCGCTTGACAATCCCCAGAGGGAAATTGATACATCATCTAATGACGTCACAGACGAAGTCAGGTCAGATTTGTCCTCTGACTTGGTCGGCACCGATCATGCACACACACTAACAACCGTCTTCAAACAAGCACTATATTAACATCAAACGCTTCATCTGTGGAGGAAGTGTAGAAAAACAGAAACTCGATACCAAACAGAATGCACGTTTTTTGACAAACCTCGCCGGCGCCTGGTGAGGTTCCAACTCGATAAAAAGGCAAAAAAATTCTAAGTGAGATGTTTGAAATCTGTTAAATTGACCCGGGTTCTCCTTTAAGAGACTCGCTTGGCATGGTAAATTATGTTGATTGGACACAGAATCAAATATAGCAGTTGTATTCACGCAGGCAGAAGGATTAAAATGGCAATCTAATTACTTAGATCTCCATGAAAACAACCTCTCTGGAGGTGGAGGAACACAGGCTAGGAAGCAGAGCTATGGAGGAACACACACTGTACGTGGGAAGTCTATGATATCTATGAGTTTTTGTATGTTCATGTCTTTGTGGCCAAACGAGCGCTAATACTCGGGCCATGGCAGCAGTTTTTGGGCTTGAGCCTGATTTAAAACTCAAATGTTCAATGTAAAAAAAAAAGAAAAAAAAAGGAATATCTAAAAAAAAAAAAATGGTAACAATGTAAAGTCACCTTCAGTTCTTTCAGTGCAGTGACAACTGATGTCAGTGACATGATTTTCGAAGAGCAACGAAAAATCGAATCCCTATTCAAATGATGTATAACAGTAGAGTAATGATTATAGCGCGTAGCATTCCTGCTCGACTGACAGTAAAAGGGCCCAATCGGGTTTGGGCAGGGAATCAACGCTCGAGGCCAAATCCATAACTCTTGTGTTTACGATGTAGCTGGTCTCATGACCCGAGTGGACATATGGGCCCATAAATTATTTTAACGCAGCCCAGAGAGGAGCCAGCCATGCACTCTTCAGCATAATCAATTTGTCCGAGAGTATATGGCATCACCACAGAACACATCTTTAGCATAACAACAGCACCGGATCGATACGTTGCTCTGGACTATGGGCCGGGACTTCAAACAGAATACACAAGCTGCTGAAGTCTCTTGTCCTTGTCTGGTCCCACTTTCCTCATTTTAAACAATGCTGAACTCAGTCCATCTTTCTTTTATCCTCCCCTCGACAACTTTTCTCTCGCCATCTCACGGCTTCTCCAGAATATGTTATCTCCCCCCTAACAGCTCACGGTTGCGCACTCAAATGAACTTGGGGATTCGACGCTTAACACAACGTGCACGACATTGAAACAGAATAGGTGAGAAAGGGATGAAAAGATTATTGCAATTCATTCCATTTTGCCAGGTGATGCAATATCTTCTACCGAGCAAGGCGGGGGGGAGGAATGAAAAGCAGGAAAGAGAAGTCGGAGACACAGACGAACACAGACAGAGGCTGGATGGGAAGAAAATGAGACAGACAGGGCGGGGATTTAAAATGCATTCCGCTTACTTTAAAACCGCAGGCATTAAAGTCGTGACGCGTCTTAACGCAGAAACCCCGTAGTCTCATTTTCCTCGCTTTGCATTTATGTGGGCTAATGTGCTGATCAAACAGGGAGATGGATTTAAGTGGTGGTGATTAAGGAAGGCGACTGAGGAGGTCCCCACCATCGGGTATCATTGTTCACAGTGGACCACGGTCATGTCCCACAGACCCAATTTTGTCTTGTGATAAAATCAACAACAGCTGATCATTAAACACACTATCCGATGGTAAAGCAGTCTTTGAATAACATTGTGTGCAGTGCAAATAATATATTAAAAGGGAATGGATATTTAAAAAGGAGGGGAAAAAAAAAAATCCCCAATCTATTGTTTGAGGCTATGCAAATCAATTAAGCGTCGCTAAAGGCTGAAGAGCTGATTACATTATAACATATGGAAATGAACTGAGCGGCGAGGCTGTCCTGCCGCACGACTCGGCTGTGGGGAGATATCTCTTTTTTGTGAGAGCATAATGATGTTTTCCAACATGTTGGCAAGCTGGTTACCATAGCTACAAAAGTGATCCTCGGTGGGAAAGACAGTGTGAAGGGACGGCGAGGACAGCCAGGAAGAGCACACTCACACACACCCGGGGGAAGATAAGGAAGGCAGGGTGAGAATGTGGAACAGGGAGACAGAGAGCGGATGAAGGTGACGTCGAGCGATAAAGACTCACGGATGTTTAAAGGGTGTGTGTGTGTGTGCGTGTGTGTCGATGCATCGGTTTCTTTTTCTTTTCTTCCTCTGTATACACTTCTTTTGGAGAGCAGGAAGAGGACAGGGAAAGAGTGGGAGTGAGCGAGAGAGACACAAGAGGACGAGTCGGAACAAGTGTGGGAGAGAGGTTAAAGACTGACAAGGGTCCAAAGAGCCTTCTTCAATTTGCTCCGATCCGACAGCACACTCAGGGGGACAGTAAAATGACAACAAAATTCACTTTCAGCTAAAAAATAAATAAATAAAAATGTGGCGCGACGCAGCAGGGCTCGTGACAGTTTTATAAGGAGATGCTGATAACTGGGCCGGGTGTAGAAATGAATACATTTTTCATTAAAAGTCCTTTGGTGTGTGTTTCAAAGATGAGATGATTATCTTTTCATTCTGATTTCTTTTTTTTTTCCTCCCCAAATTAAGTTATGATTTTCTTCTCAATTACATTTTCTGGCCATGCCGTCCCAAAGCCACAGACCACTTTACCTCTTCTTTGTACGATTCTCCCGGCAGATTGAAACTGAGCAAATTTAATTAAAGAGTAGATTCAGCTCCACAAAAATAAATCAAGTCAAAGGCAAAATAAACAGCTACCGGGACCACTGTTGCGTTCACTGCATCACGAATCTACAGGTTGTTCAAATATGTACACTGAGGATCTTTGAGAGTGTGTGTTTAAGGATTTAATCTGATTACAACACAGCTAGGTAGCATGCAAACTTGCACGGGCATTCAAATGATTGCAGCTCAATATTGATTCATAATCTGACAACACATACACGGTACTAAGTTGGATAAATGGTGTAAACAATTTGTAAAGATGAAGCATGTAGACATGATAATAAAGGCTCGACACTGGTAATCTGGTAAAATGGTTGCGTGTACATGCAGGACAATAACATTTAGCCATGGATGCACAGCAAGAACAGCGGCTTTAGGCTTACACTGAGGAGCAGGGGAGATCCCATCACTGTTATCAGTGCATCGGTGTGTTTTAGTGAGAAACATCCCACAGAATTGATCCAGCATTAAACTACAGTACTTCCCCCAAAGACGCCGAAAATATGGTAGAGAGATGCGTCACTACACAGTCTTAATTGAAGTTTTTTTTCCAAGAGAAGAAAAAGGCAGGTTGAAATACTGCAATACTGCAACACCTACAGTGTGACACCGGCACTCAGACTCTGATAAACACAGTCATTGATCACAGAATCCTTTGATGCTGCTTTACTACAGTTATTTCAGCTGCAAGAGCCTTTTAATTGTGTAGCCCACGAATTACGTCAAATAAGTGAGCTTGAGTATCACTTCAGAAGACATCGTGATCTTATTATACATCATGACGCTGAGGGCCTTGTTCACACATTTAGTTCAGCTCCCTTGGGCATGACCAAAGGGATGCAACAAAAAATAAAATCTAAAAATGGTATCAAAGTGCTTTTTTAGATATCGTGGGACAAATAAAACAGTAAGAGAGCAACAATAAAAGCAATCAGTAAATGTAAGAAAGCGAAAAGATAATAAAATTCAGAATAGACTGGATGAAGCATGTTTAGAGCGGAAGGTTTTTAGGAATGTTTAAAGACCAACTCTGACTCCAACAGAACACGAAAACAAAACAGACATGTCGTGCGTCGGGCTTAACGTTTGGTTCAAGGACCGCAAGGTTATTCCGAACAAAAAAAAAAAATCATTGTTATGTTTTAGTCTCAAATCTTTGTTCACAGACAAAACAAGATGCGACGAGAAACCGAACTCTGCATATAACAGGTTGGACCTGAACCCGGGTCTAATTTACCGATACATGCGTGCAACCGCTTCCACCACGCAGACAAACGTACGTGCGCGGGCACACAAACTGTAACGGCCTCGACACAAAGTGAAGTGGATTTATACAGTGTAATTAACAGCCTGTGATTTATTGCTAACAGCTGCAGTGTTCTTGGCTCTTTGTAAAGACCCGAGTCAAACAAACGCAAGGTGCTGAGTATCTGTTTCAGCACCCAATATTCACTGAGTCACTGTCAGACGCCCACATTTATGTCTGGTCTGTTTTAATCAATCCTAAGAGCATCCGCGTGTATAGTAAAAACTGAGATATTTACTATGACACCCTATTTTAAATTGTCCCACCATCAGATACTCATGTGTATAGCCTGGGAATTCATATTTGGCTGGGTTGACATGCAACAGACCGATTAATCTGCACCTACAGCTCACCTGTAATCATGACCAACATCCAGTACTTTGAGATGAAATTATACTGAATGTAATGTTAAAAACTAGTCGCTCTTAAAAAAATATGTCTCATGTAGCAACGCGCAATCATTACAGATGCTTTGTCTTCCAATCAGAGCAGACAGCCGACTGTCCACCTCATTTTGACACTGCGTAATCCCTCGCAACAATAAACTCCACGTCTAGCCAGGCAAACGGCAGCATTCACGAGGTGAATCCTGCTGCCGTTATGTAAGTCTGTCAGTCCCCACCAGCCCGACTCAGGCTGGTGGGTTTAGCAGATTACAGTCCCTCTACACTTCCCACAGCTGAGGCTGTAATCGGAGTTTCACTTAGTAGTCAGATGTGCGCGGGCATGGGATTACAATGATGGCCGGTCTAGATAAATCCCCTCGCACCCTAGGGAAACGTAAGTGTACACAGGGATGTGTACAAAAACCCCATGAATGAGTTCATTCTGCGTCCATACCATTTGCTGATGGTGTATGAACGTGCAGGGATCAAAGCAAGATGATATGAACTGAAATCTACTAAACTAAAAGGCTCGGATCTCAGTTTAAGCAAAGCAAATGATCTTCGGTTCAACACTTCACTGACCCAGCACTTCTCACTGGGGAAAAATACTTGCTTTATAAGTCACGATGAGAAAGCAAACACCAAAAAAAAAACGACAACAGCGTTGGCAGCCAAAGCGGGCCGCCAGATGCGATCAAATATAGTCCAGATTGGGAGATTTTACTGGGAAATAAGGATGGAGTGAGCGAGAAATGTAGGTCGCTTTAACAGGCTGAGCAGTGCAGTGACAGATGCCAGTGCAGGGGTCATTGAGGTCAGGCCAAAACGTAGATAGGAAATACGATTAGAGGGGGGGAGTGTGACAGTCATAACATGTTAAGATTAAAAGAAGCATGAAGGGGAAAGAAACCTGAGTGGTTTCAGTGTCTATGGAGGAAGAATATACAGAGTAAAGTGTATCAAATGAAAGCCAGTCTTCAAATAAAAGCCGGGTTTGCAGCCTTTTCAAATACGTAAAGAAGAATTCTGGTATTTTATTGAGGTGAATATAAAGGGAAATACTGTTATTTCTCAGTAATTAATTCATTCTGATCAACTATGAAAACTTTTCACAGTAAAAAGTCTTCCAGGGATTATAATAGCACGGTGGGCTTTAATGCGTCATATGAAGACAGTGTTGAGGTAGTTTTAACACAGCAAGCAGTAAAATAGAGAGAAAACGGAGGCTTTTACTAAATAAAATACAATTTAGCATGTTGCAGCACCTGGATGAGGTGGTGTTATTGACTGCGTGCAGAATTGTGTTTGACTTGCTGATTGTGTGTCTCCGTTTCTTTGCTGCAGTGTGGAGCTGGACTTCAAGCAGCAGGAGGACAAGCTACAGCCGCTGATGATGAGGCTTTGCCCTACGCCGGACGGCCACTTCGCCTCCCTGCCTTACCCCCAGGAGGCCTTCACCTCCACCCCAAAACGCAAGTCCAAAGCTGACTCCAAGAAGCACGCTCGCTGGAAACTTTGGTTCCTGTGAAAACGCGGAACCGACAACCTCACCCGCTACTGATGCACAGGATTTATGCGTCCGTCTGGTCGTCCAAATTTGTTTATCCATCTTCTTCGGTTTTTTTGCAGACCTGGTGACTAATGGAGAGCGCCACCACTGGATACTGAGAGTCCCCCGTCAGAGACGACAGGATGTGTAATGGGACACGGGTGCGGATTCCATGGAAAATTCTAAATGTCATGCTTACCAAAAAACGGATTCAGAGTTATTTTTGAACTCATTTCTTCAAACAGGGTGTGAAATTACACCAGGGCAACATATTTGGAGATCAGCAAGGTGAAAAGACAAATTTGATTTCCCTCCGTCTATTTGCATATATTTTTCTAGCAGACGTCTACGGGGTCCTATTCTACGATGACGGTTCAGTGACCGTCACATTTCTATTCACCTGTTGGGACTCTGACTTTCTTGCCAGCCTCCAGGAGAGGTTATCACAGCATATCACCGTACTGCTAAAGCACAATTAACACCGTTCAGGATACATTTTCTCCAGAGTAATTTAAAAAATAACTATTTTGAGTATCAACTCACGTATGTAGATCGCCGACTAACTACGACAGATTGAAGACTTTCATAATATCTAAAGAAGAGACCTAAAGGACAAAGAAGTCAGAGATGTTTATTGGAGTTCTACGATCAACTTTCTATCCATCTCTAAAATGTCTCCTTGAATCAACTGACTTTGAAGTAAAGAATGAATAAATAACACTTATTTTCTTAATAACATTTGCAAAGTTAGACATCAATGTACTTTTTTCTATATAAATATATATATCTATATACATTCACTTTAAGGTTTAGTGGAATATATTGATTTGAGCTGCAGTGAAGGGGCTGTGCATTACAAAAACAAAACACTCCCCTCATTGAAACCCAACACCCGAAAGTAAACGAGTCCAATCAAACTTCATCAGTATAGAATAGCAGTGTTCCGTTTCAACAGAGAAAATCAAGTTTAAAGATACTTTATTGCTTCAATCATGAAACCAAGTGCAACAGCTAATGTTGGTTCTGAGCACACGTGAGGGGCAACAGAAGATAGCTGTGATTGTATTGCTGCAGCATCCTGCACCAGCTACTCCGTTAGCTGCTGAAACCAAGCCAGAGAGACTGAATGTGCCACTTCTGATCACAACCAGGGCTTCTACAGTGCAGGGTGGCAGGCGTGTAGCCTTGCATGCTTTTTACAACTTTTGCAGGAGATTTTCTAGCTTTTGAAGTAACCATTTTTTTTAAAGAGAATGACAAAAGTTTTGCCCCACCCCCTCTTTTCTTTTTTTTTTTATACTAGCTCCTGCTCATCGCTTCCCGTCTATTCGATTGTAAAGTAAAAACTCTTGTTGTAGCGCTACACAGGGTTCACAGACTATGTACAGCCAAAATAATATTTGCGTTTACTCTATATCAATACATGTCGTATAGCATCAAATAGGGCTAATACCATATTAATGAGTGGGGACGCAGCCAAAAGAAACCGCTACGTCGACAGCGCCTGCAGGAGCTTAGAACTGAAGTCACTCTCAAAGCCAAAAACACTGCCCCAAAAGACAGGAAATGCGCCAAAGTGGTTTCAAGGGCATAAAAGAAGCATCTACTCTCACAATATACCTTGCAAACTACTAGACGTCGCTGGTTTGACCTCCACAAGCTCCACCATGCTGCTTTCTGTTGGCTACATGTGATTCACACCTCCACTCTTGTACATGCCGGGTAGGTTTCTTTCAGTAGTTATGCTGTAGCATCAAGAGAGAATTAGATGTTTATCTGTACCTTAAAGAAGTGCAATTGATTGAATATGTGCAATACTGTGTTTTTCTACTGTTTTTAAAAAAAAATAAAATAATAAAGATATTTAATATGCAAAATATGAAAAGTAAAAACGGACATCTACATAGCTCTGAAAGTCTGGAGAAGACCGACTATAATTCGCAAAGGAGAATAGTAGCATAGTAAGCATCATAGCTCTACTTTCACCAAAGCAAACAAACACTGCTAGCTCTTTTGCCGTTATTTGCACCATTAACGGCAAGAAGCGGCTCAGCCGTCACCGTGTTGCGAGGCATTATAAATTCCCCCAATCACGTAAAAAGCACGTCCAAGCACTTAACAATAAAAGATATTTTATCACTTACCTTTGATGGTATTTAGCAATTAGCATCTGTTTGAATTACATTTGTTCAGGACTGTTGTGACGTCTGGATTATCAAGTGTTGCCGGAAAAGTATGTTGCTTTTGACATTTTTCAAAGTCGTGAGCACCTCAAGTGAAATGTCATTCACCTCAACTGCAATTAAGGCGTCAGCAGAAATCTCAGACGAATATCTCAAAACGTGTGCCAACAAAACTAAAACTATATGCATGGGCAAACACGTCTGTGGGGTACGTGAGGAAATGTCATGTCGTATTTGGAGTGAACCAAACGTGAAATTTAGGATTTCATTTAGGCTTAGTTTGAAAATTCCAGTATGCAAAACAATCAACTCGACAATTATGTGACGAAAAGCAGGAGGTAAGGTTGAAAATCCACCTAAAACCAGCCCTGCATCTCTTTGATGTAGTGGGGCGGCACAATGCGGAGCAGAATACAACAGAGGGATAAGCAGCGAAGGGCTTTTGGTGCAGGCAGTCAACCTTCCTAAGAACCTGCTTCTGATCCAAAGCTTGCACTCATGGCACAGTTTTTGCCCCTCACCATTATTACATCAATGCTGTGTGTGGTGGACCTTCGGACATGTCCATGTGGTCGTGTGCGTGCATGCTGCGGCCTGATGTTGCCGCAGACCAGCAGCGAGGTGAACTTGTGAGGTAAACTGGGGACAAAGCTCTGAGTAAATGCCCCAGAGAAGCAGAGTCACCCTCACATGGATGCATAAAGCTGCAGGGACTGATGTTGCTCGAGGGCAACACTGCACCCCCCCCCTCTCCTCCTTTCACCCAGTGGAGGGCCATCTTTACAGGGCTACCCTCGAGTGGTTGTTAACAGCACAGCACTGAGGGTACAAACAAGAACCCCAGCTTCACATCTCGAATTCTTACACCCTTTAACCGCAGTCCTCCGTGGTTTGAAGGTGACGAGCGTCACCACGCGACTCCCGGCGGTTTTCACATAGCTTTGACAGTGAGCACGCGTCTGACGTGAGTTGTCGCAGGGTCAATATACTCGAGAGGATGCTCTGTCAAAGTTTCAGCACAGGTGGAGAGGAGAGGTGCAGAGAGTGAGTGATAAGTGCACGTTTGAGGCATTATGATTCAGTGCCATATCTCACTATGCTTCTTTTCTGTGAGAGCTCTGCAGCAGTCTGGCCAGCGGGGGTGGGGGGAAGAGAGAGAGAGAGAGAGAGAGAGAGAGAGAGAGAGAGAGAGAGAGAGAGGAATATGTGGACGGAAACAGATATAAAGACAAAGATAAAGAGAGTGAGTGATACAAAGACAGAGCCGCAGATACCGATCTGAATTGAGATGGCTTTGTTGCAAGATATTTGGTCAGCGAGTGCATGCAGCAAAGAACGAGCTCCAGCCCCTATAGTTCCATACTGTCAATCAATAGCACAAGTCCTTCCCCTGCAGCTTTCCTCTCCATTCCTTCTGCACACTGCAGGTAAATCGGCAGGATAACCAGGAAGCAATGCAGCCAACTCTGACCACAACATTCAAGTAGAGCTCAGGTCTGTTAGGTATACGGTATTATTGATTTTGACATTTAGGTGTTAGCTGACCATGCAAAGCAAAATTGCAAAGGTCAGTATGGCTAACATGACAGGATAAGAAAAACACAAAGCTTTGCTTTTATTGGTTTGGTTGGAACTTTAAAAGCAGAGGATTTTCCCAGCAGCATCTTACTACCCGTGTGTATCAGGGCTCATCCAGAGGCTTAAAACAGACGGAAACTGTAATTCAAGGGCATTAAGGTAGAACGTGGTCATTTCAGCACGGACTGCCAATATCTTTCTGCTACTATACGAATGTAAATGTATTCACAAGGACTCATCTCAACCTGCGTGAGGGTGGACATGAATATAAAGATACAGCCTGCTGGGATGTCCGACGATGCAAATGTGCGGCGGAGCCGTGCGAGTCGCTAACAGGCGTAGCACTGCGGTGACAACACACAACAAAACCGACGCCCCCCCCCCAAGCTGTCATTGTGATCAGTCTCATCAACATTCTGTGTCAACCACCTCCAGGAGAGAAGAGAAAAGGAGAGGGAGGCGGAGAGAGGCGGGAGACCGAGTAGAACATTGATGCATAAATCTAAACGCAAGAGGCTGCCACTCAGAGGAACAAGGTCGGTAGTTGGCTGCGATGTTGTCTGAGCAGCAGCGAGCAATCTGCCTGCAGACTAGGCAGCAGTGAGCCCAGCGGCGGCAACAAAGGTCCCCTGATTAGAAAGCTATGACACTTCCAGCAGCACTAACTGGGTCTCATAGCTGTTCAAATTCTCACTAGCCTTATTGATCATCAAGTAGTGATGTGGGGAGCCGCTTCAAATGCAGCTTCCATCCCAAAGCACTGTATGACATACAGTGTTCGAGTGAACGATCCATAGTTCGTTCAAAAAAGACAAGGCTCTGATGTGACCTCAAACGCCCACTGGGTTAATAGGAGCACTCTGCACACTGACGCAAATATTATGCAGGTACTTAGAAATGTCAAGGCAATTGAGTTCAGTGGCTAAAGGCGCTGACAAAGGCGAGGGGTCAGTAGGGACGATAGAAGATGCTGTAAATAGATGAGGGAAGTAAGGTAGAGAGCAGCTGCAGCACATGTGCGGGATACAAAGTAGATAGTTTCAATGGGGGGGGCCACATGAGGTCATGGGTAGAGCAGTTTCATTAACCAGAAAGGAGGCTGGTCTGCTTTTGAGCAATTCAGCAGGCGGTGCTGGAAGCACGGAATGCCATTTTATCTGCACCACGGGAGGGGGGGGGGGGGGGGAATGGATGCACTTAGGATAATACAGCAGAGAGGAGGCCTGCGTGTGCTGCCTTCATGAGCGTTGATAGCCTTTAACACAAAGTGGTAGGCAAGTTCCATATCTGAAATGGTCAACAACAAAAAAAAGCCACTGCAGTGAAAGATAATGGCAGAATGTGAGCGGCGAAGGCAGCTGGTCCAAGTTCTAATAAAACATCTACCAGCAAACACCGTCCTGCCTGAGCCTGTACCCCCGGCATAACAATGAATGAGATGGGAGAGCTCGAGTGAGTGGGAGTCCTAGACCCCCTCCAGGCAGCTGTCTGGGAGAGAAGGGGTAGCAGAGATGCCTCGACTCAAATCACAGCTTCATGAGCTTTGCATTATACAGCGCCAGGCACGCTGGCGATCTGTTACACAACAGAAGTTCACGCCTTTAGACGGAGGGAGAGACGGAATGAAAGAAACGGCTGCAGAATCCCTGCTCTGAGAAGAATGAAGAGCAGGACACAGGGGACAGGGGATGATTATTACAGCATGGTGACATAACACACAAACACACACTGGATAATTAGTGCGCGGTAACTCAGGGTACTTTTTTGTTTTAAATCACTCTCTGCTGGTGTGGCTCAGCAACTGGTGATAAAAGCAAATACACCTCCATTTAAACAGGTGATGCCGCTTCCTTCTGCTCCCCATATGGAGAGGGTGCTGTGCGCACCCACCCACACACACACACACACACGATAAATAACCCGAGACAGGAGGATGCTACGCCAGCCAGTAATAGTATCGATATAACGAGTCAGTATCATACGACTCCCCATTTTCCAATATAAGTTTGAAGTCTGGAGAAAATGTCCCTCTCATCACTTCTTTGTATTTAAGTGAGCAGTAAAAGTACCTTTAAGTACCCTCAGAGGGATCTCCATCATAAAACAAAAACTCACTTTCAAAGTCACATCACCAGCTACATGCGGCTCTGATTAATACAAGCGTCAACAGGATACAGTACAATGAGCCAGAGAATGCCAAACTTGATATTCATGACTCGACGAATACAGAAGTTGAAATTCATTGGACTCTTTGGACTCATGAAAATGGATGAAAGCTTTGCAGATGGAAATAAGGCAGACAGCATATTTATACTATGACTGATAAGTGCTTTAATTGCCTCCGAGCTCCAGCTGAGAGAGTGATTGGGAGAAGAATGCTAACGACAGTGGGAGGGATACGGGGGTTGTGTTCCTAGATTACAGCACAGAGAATCAGATATGTTTAAATAAAAGACAAATTTCAAAAAACAGGCAAAGACATGCATACTAAAACATCGTGAAACAGCAAAAGCAAAAGCAAAAGCAAAACACACACACACACACACACACACACACACACACACACCCGGGTGGAGAAAGATATGAGCAGATCAAAGCAAGTCTTAGATTGAGGTTGTGTGAAAGCATTCCACCAAGGTAGACTTTACCTTTAATGATAGCTTTGGAATGGAATTGGAGTTGTAGTGGGCCTGTGGGAGCTAAGCTGGTTGGGATACAGGAGCCTCTAAATTGGAGTGTGCCTGCACGCATGTGTGTGTGTGGACACAGGTGTACGAGTTTGTATGTGTGTGATAACAAGAAGAAAACAGAGAGCGGGTGGTGGGTACACAGCAAACTTACAATGTGAGGGGACTCGCGGCCCATCGAAATGACGGTCCTGTTAACGGTCCTCAGCAGCTTCTCCATGACGATCTGCACGTGCCACTGGGTGGGACCCTGCAAAAAAAAAAAATAAATAAAAAAAATAAAATAAATCCAGTCATTAATTTCTTACATTTGCCACAATGGCTATAAACATGTCTTCTAATTTCAAAATCGGTGGCTCCATCGTTTTTTTAAATTAGATTTCGAATGTCACCGCAAATTGACGAGTCTCGGAAGAACCCACAAACCTGGATTCTGAGAGGCTGTTGGTGATTCAGATGGACGTAGAGCTCGTCATGTAGATTTGTAAGTAGAACACATCACCATAGACAACGTATCTTTCATACACAAAGTGATTCCTCAACACTTGTCAATCTGTGTTCGTTGAAAAGCATACAGTCTTTTCAAAATATACTTCTGTTTTCACAGGAAACAAATTGGTTAGGTTTAGGCTACACTACTATTTTATTAGATTTGAGAAGACATTGTGGTTTTGGTCAAAATAAAGGAAGTGGCATTACTTAAAGGGAGAACGTGTAGCATTTAGAGGGATACATTTGGAGATATGGATTATAACATTATTAAGTACGTTTTCTTTCATGTATAATCACCTGAAAATAAGAACCGTTGTGTTTCCAATACCTTAGAATGAGCAGTTTATTTCTACATTGCCGGCCGATATGTTTCTACAGTAGCCCAGAATGGACAAACCAAACACAGGCTCTAGTTCACGTTTTCGCATTGGACACAATTGACTTCTGGATTCACACGGGACACGAACAACTCCAACAGCTTGTTTCTTGGTCCGTGGCTCAGCTTTCCACAACATTTCAATGAAATCTGTTCACAGGTTGCTTTACTGCTGTTGGTGTCATTACAACATCTCTTTGTCTTAATCAATAGATATTGCAAATGCTAATATTGCCATTCAAACACTAAAAATTCTGAAGATACTTTGAGGATATTTTGTGCTAAGAGACCTGAAAAACATGACTGTTGCAGCCAAAATGATTTATGTATTGTGAATCCTGTCTTTTGGAGAGGGAAACAGTTGTACCGCCATCACAAGTGGGATGTTTTTTTCCATGGACTTGCTTGTTAGTGAGTTTGATTGAGCACAGGGCTTCTCACTGTCTTTACCCGTCTGTGGGGGGAATCTTCCAAGCAGACCGAGCTCTGCAGCGTCAACCTCAACTTTCAATAATTTACACAGCTCTTTCTGCGGTTTAAGAACTCGTGCACGCAGGTCTGTGCACAAAGATTCACACAATCACAGAGCAGCGCTGGGGAGAATAAACTATCTGAGGAGGGAGTATCGCCTTCCAACGCAGTAAGTGTGACACACATCAGACAGAGCAGGGCAGGGAGAGGAAGAAAAACACAGAGAGACAGAAGGAGTGTGAATGGGAGAGGAAGTGGGAGATAATCCCGAACAGAGTGGAGTGTGGGAGGTCAGGCCGTGGTGATCAATGGTGAGGGGAGTCTGAGAGGGCCTGAGGGAGGACATCAGGTGTCTGGGCATGGAAGAGGATGAAACACACTCAGGAAGCAGCTGAGTGTTTGTGTGTAGGTGTGTGTGTGTGTGTGTGTTTGTTATAGTCTGTGCATGAGAGTGTGAGGAATGTAGACTTCAGTGAAAGATAGATTTCAGTAACAAACAAGTAGTTGATTAATTCATTAATTGATCCACAGAAAGTTGAGGACAACTTTGATGATTAATTGTTTCATCTAAAGGGAAGATTGTCAGATGTGAACATGTTCTGCTTTCCTCTGTTGTATGTAATTGCAAAATGAATGTTGTGGGGGTTCGGACTGTTGGTCAGGACAAAAACAAGCTATTTGATGAGGTCACTTTGGGCTCTTGGGACTTGTAATGGTATAGTGGTAAGTTAATTTATGCTACTAAACAAATAACTAATTAATTAGATAAACAATCAATAGATTAACCCGTGATAGCTTTGACTGGCTACATAACTGGGTCAGTGATTGATTTACCAGCAGAGCCCATCACCAACTCGACAAGTAAGTAAATTAACAGTGCTGCAAAATGTGCAAGCAGGGCAAACAAATAAATGAGGAATAGCACACTGATTAGGAGCTACTCTGTCAAACAGCCACAGTCGAAACGTGCTTTCTTCTGTATGGAGGTTCTCCTGGACCCCCTTGGTCTGCTATTATTCATCCCAGAGGGAACTAAAAGCAGATAAAACTAGAGAGCGGTGTTCCTCACCACATCCTTCCTGTAGAGCACCTCCAGGATGTCACTAAGCAGCTGGCAGCAAGCCTTCGGCTCATCGCGCCTCTCCAGGTGGAACTTCAGCTGGTCCGTCATCAGCGGCAGGAAGATCTCTCTGCAATCTGCGGGGACGCCAGCAAATACACACATTTACAACCCCGCTCCACACATGGAGCAGATGATGGATCGCACGAGGCAAAACGGCATATGCTCTCGACACACTCTCGATGAAGACGCATGCAGCTTGTTAATGGCTTCATCGCAGCTCAGA